CACACACACACACACACACAGAGAGAGAGAGAGAGAGAGAGAGAGAGAGAGAGAGAGAGAGAGAGAGAGAGAGAGAGAGAGAGAGAGAGAGAGAGGTGACTGGCAAGCTCACAAGCTCACACGCCTACTCAGACAGCCCACCGCACTTTCCAGACGCCCACCGCCAGCACACTCCCCTCCCCTAAAAGGCATTCACCCACTCACCAGCTGTAGCCTCTTTGGTCCCCCGCCCTCCCGCCCTGCTCCCCCTCCCCAAGAAACAGACCGGCGCGCTAGGAGGCAGGGACCCCCGGCAATCGAGCAGCTCAGAGCACCGCACTGACCTCCGCCTGCCCTGCGTGCAGATTAACAAAGGCGGCGGCGAGCCCCAGCCCGACTGCTGCAAGCCGAAAGCTAGCCGCGGGGTCCAGAGCCTGCGCGCAGTCAGGAAGCGCAAAGCGGGCTGCTCTGGAGTCACAGACAACGCTGACTGAGCTCGCAGACCTCTCTGGAGCCGCGCTGCTGGGACGCCGGCCACACCATGGGCTGCTGCACCGGGCGCTGCTCGCTCATCTGTCTCTGCGCGCTGCAGCTGGTAAGTGCCTGGTTGAGTCCCGGTTCTGGGATCAGTCCGTCCTCCCGGACCGGCTTGTGGAGGTCCCTCCTTGGATCTGCAGCTCAGGGCTAAGGACCCGTGAGCGCGCAGGACACACTGGAGGGATCCCCAACCTCCGCTGTCCCATCTAGGATGTCTGTGTCTCCAGCTCAGTAGCTCTTGCCCGCAGGAGGGCGCGGTCTTACTTCTGGTCCGGTGCGCTGCGTAGCCGCCACGAGGTCCGAGGGCAGCTGGGGTGGCGCTCCGGGAGAGTGAGTTCCCCGCCCCTCTTTCGGACACCTGGCCTGTGCACCCTCCGAAATCCTGCTGAAGTTATGCTGGGGCTCATGGCTCGCTCTTATCCGGACGGTTTGCAAGAGACAGAATGTTGTTTAGTTAGAAAGTGCTTGGGGACAGTCAGCTTCTGAGACAGCAGCAACCTCGGCTTTCTGGAGGTTTTTACTTTCAGCCCCTGGAAGTTGATGGTTAAGGAGTCCAGGACTCCAGGAAGATGCGGCTGTGCTTGGGAACCACAAGTTCAAGGCTCTGCCATTTCATCTCTGCTTTTGATTGTCTTGAAATGCTGCTATGTTCAGGCTACGACCGGTTGACAGCTGTCTTGGGGAGTGGACAGGGCTTCTCTTTGGCTTGGCGCTTTGCCCAGGGAGTGAGTGGAATCGGAAGTTGGAAATCAGGGTGGAAAGAAAAAGACCTTTCTGGTTTTAGGCAAATACTCGCGACCCTTTTGTTATCAGGGCCGACACTGTGGTCTGTTTTGTGGTCACCAGAAGTCAAGGCTGCAACCTACTGTGCCAGACTTTTGTGAGTGAGATTAATAGACATCCCCCCTCCCCCAGGGCAGGGACCAACCCAATAGGTGCCCCACCACACTGGCCTTCTGCTAAGCATTGAATTTGTTTTGTCACAAACCTCAAAGGTGTAACTAGGGAATTTAGTCAAGCCAGGGAGAAGCTTTCCGCGAACTTTACCTACCTACTGTAGCTCTTGCAGGGCTCATTAACCCGTTAACCAGGAGATGTAATAATGAGTTAGTCCTTGTTCCCTCGAGATTTTTAAACGTTTCCACTTTTCCAATTTTGCCAGTTTCCCCCAAAGATTCATTTTCTATGTGTTCATTGTCCTCTAATCCACGCAAAGCAGACACATTCGTAAGCCTGTGGGACAACCCATTCTGCGCCATGAGAAACACACACCAAACGTGTTTATTGTGTTTTCTTGAAATACATAAAACTTCATGTGAGTTTTCTTCACCTTCTTAGGGAAAAAAAGTCAATGGGCGACTTATACAGTGATTTTTAGAAATGAACTTGGCTTTTTAGAAAACCGAATAAATTTAACCCTCGATTCTTATCTATTTATGTAAACATCTCGTGATTGTCTAATCATTCCAAGCAATATGAAGTTAGGATCAAAGTTATTTTTTGTAAACACTACAAGTATTTAGCACTTAGGAGCAGAAACATTGTTGCTGAATTTATGGCATTGCCTACATTCTCAGTCTATATAGCATTTTTATGCAAATATTTCTTTTGACTCCTGAAGTTATTCTCTGGGAGATACTCATTTCACTAATTTGTCTATGAGGAACTCATAAAATTAAACTCCCCCTAAGTAAGTTGTACTATGGTAGAGGCAGAGGGGTGACTATAAGCATGTAAGAACTAGATCCCACTCAAAAGAACGCTTATGTGTTGTCTCAGCAAGAGTTTCTATTGCTATGACACTATGACCAGAAGTGTACAATCCATATCATAATCCATCACCAGCATCATGGTGGGAACTCCAGGTAGGAACCTGGGAGCAGAAACTGACACAGGAGCCATTAGGAATGAAGCTTCTTGGGTTTCTCTCCAAGGTTTTCTTAGGCTGCTTTCTTATACACACCCAGAACCACCAGCCCAGAGAAGTTACCACCCACAGTGAGCTGGACTCTCCCACATCAATCATCAATCTGGTGGAGTTCTTTTTTCATCTGAGGTTTTCAAGTGTGTGTCAAATTGACAAAAAAAAATAAAAAAATAAAAAAATAAAAAATAAAGTCAGCACACTTTTTCTATTATGTTATTGTACCACACATGATAGCATTGCTTATATAAAGGGTTTATAGTTGAAATTACATCTGGAAGATTTTTTTATTGAGTTTGAGAAACTCTTGACTTCATAGTTTTGATATGAATACTGATTAATATTTATATTTGCTTTAGGGAGAAAGAAGACACTGAAACAATATTAGAATTTCATCAATGCCATGACCAGATTCTTTTCTGAACTATATAATAATTTTCAGACATTGAAAGATTATTTATGAATTTCATTTGACAATGTGGTTACAGACATGACATACTTGTAATTTTAGTATGCATTATTGAAATATGTTTACTCACAAATTTATTAAGATCATTGCTCAGTGTACAATAAGTCATATCCCAATTTGTAACATTTTCCAATGTATTTGTTATAAGTACTCCCAGTTCAGCCAGTTACAAGTAAACTTTTATATAGCATTTCTACTATCCAGATTGAATAAGAGGCATAAACAACTTCAAAAGCATAGATAAAGAAGAATATGGCAAAAATAATTATAAAGGAATGAACTTTAGATATTTTAGTACTTGTGTTTTGATTATGGTTTATTTAAATTTGTATAATTCAATATACAATAATGGTTATGTTTGACAGCTGACTCACAGATATCTTGAGTACTTAAGAAATAAACTCTCTGAGCTCATGTTAGCCTACTCCAGCATGCCATGTGAAACCAGTGAAAGGACACCAGCTTCCTAGGCCTGGTGCATTTCCCACTGAAAACAGCTCTCCGCTCTCCCTTTCATGTTTTACTCTACTCCAACCAACTCTTGGAAGATGGGGATTATGAAACCTTAACAAGTTCCGATATAAAGAGGGGATGCCATTTGTTGTTCAGACTTGATGCAGGGAATTCATATAGTAAAATGAATCAGCTGCAAACCACCACATAAATAGCCCAAGGCCTCCTCCTAAAAAAAAAAAAAAATGGAAAATTTTGGGTAATCTAATTCCATTTCATATGAACTTCATTCCCTCTTGAGTGAAAAAGATTCAGAATGGGAAATCTAACTGGAGAGAAGTTGCCGTATTTAGGTGACTAATGTTGATGAACTTTGATTTGTGAAATCTGTCTTCTACCTTGCTCTCTTTGCCCTTGTGGCTAGTTTCCATTATTGCCTTTTCTCCATGCAAACTTATGTGCTTGCCCCGAAATTCACATTTATGCTCTGATGTTACCAGACAAGATTACACAGAAGATGTAAAGAATAAAAAACAGAGCACAGGAAACTTTGTAAAGTGATTTTTCCTAGGAAAGGTGTTTTGTTACCATTCCATTCATCTCTCAAGTCACCAAAGAACTTTTAAGTACATCTTACATAAGGATACTCGTGGTGCGGTGTGTTTGTATAATAGCAAGTATTCTACTACTGGGTGTGTAGGGTCTACAGCTAAAAAGAACATCAATCATAGTATGCTAAATCAGCTTTAGTCACTGTATTTAAATGAACCTTAATTGTGTGTTTTAAATTCTACCATCACCTCCACATGGCATTGCAGAAACATGTTCTCTGAGCTGCTTTAGAAAAGTGTTGAACACACTACCCTACAGCAGGCAGGCATGGCTACCACAAAGTATTAGTCATCTTTCAGCATCACAGACATCAGACTCTAAGGCATGTTCAATAAAACTTGGCATGTCATTACTTGGAGAGCTTATTATGTTTTGTATTCTTTTACAGTGAGAGCTATATTTATTGTCAGAGCTGGTAATCAGCCCATGAAAAGTCAAAAGTAAGATGACATGTTTATAGTCACAGAAACCCTAAGAGATTTGCCTAAACAAGCAGCTATTAACATATAGATGGGTCATAAGTTTTGTTTTAGAGAGCAATCTCCCCAGTTAAAGAAAATTAGCATTTATTTGCTCACAGTGAAAGCAAAGTTTCAAGACTTGCTATTCCACCTTCCAAGCATTGGAAGCAGAGCACCTGTGATATTCAATGCTCAAATAATGCATTTGAATTATTTGAAATGCGCCGTTGGTGCATGAACGGTGCTGACATATCTGTGGTGAGTTTTGAATTAAGTCCTGTGAAATATCGTGCTTATTTCCCAGAAATACTGGACAGTCAGTATGGAAATACATTTAATTTATAATGTAGATATAATGATAATTTTGTTTTACATGGTTTAATTTAAATACCTCTCTTTATTCTGTACAGTATAATTCCTTTTTAAGGATTATTTCATTTTAGGTGTGTTGGTGCTCTGCATGTATATCTGTGCACCTCAAACATACAATGCCTGCTGAGGTCAGAAGAGGGCATCCAGTTTCCCAAAACTGAAGTTACAGGAGGTTTTGAGCTGCCACGAGGGTGTTGGGAATTGAACCCTTTTTCTCTGGAAGAATAGTTAGTACTCGTAACTGTTGAGCCATCTCTCTAGTCCTGCAATGTAATGCTTAATTTTTGTTGTCTTTATTTCAATATTCTGGTTCATCCTATGAAACATTAAAAAGGTTAGGAAAATTAATTTATGGCTGATAATGAGACTTTGTGTCTGGTCTGGAAATCACCTTGCATTAGCCAAGGCTGAGGGCTGACCTACACATCAAATACAGAAGAATGAGCTGTGCTGTTACAAAATAAGGGCCATAGGATGAGAGGTGGGATGAAGGACATGTGTATGCACATGTGCAGGGCAAGCAGAAGTATTTGGTGATACAAAAGGTCGTGTTTAGAAACTCCAAGATTCTGATTACCAGGTTTATGACTGTTAAACTCTGACAATAGACTGGACTAAGTCTTTGAATTAA